AATCTGAATAGACATTTCACTAAAGAAGATATACAAGTGGCCAAAAAGCACATGAAAAGATGCTCAACATCATTAGTCATCACAGAAATACAAATAAAAACCATAATGAGATATCCCTTCATCTCGACTAGCATGGCTAAAATCAGATAGACAATATAGTGTCGGAGAGAATGTGGAGAAACTGGAACCCTCATATACCGCTGCTGGGAATGTAAAATGGAGCAACTGCTTCAGAAAACAGGTTGGCAGTTCTTCGAAAGGTTAAACACAGATTTATCATATGACCCAGAAATTCTTGGGTTTATACCTAGAAGATATGAAAACACATATTCACATAAAAACTTGTACATGAAAGGTCACAGCAGCAACATTTGTAATAGCCAAAAAGTAAAAACAACCCAAATGTCCATCGGCTGATGGATGGATAGTGTGGTACATCCACACAATGAAATATTATTTGACAACAAAAGGAATGAATTACTGATCCATGCTTCAACATGAATGAACCTTGAAAACATTACGCTAAGTGAAAGAGGCCAGTTGAAAAGGACTACATATTACATGATTCCACTTAAAGGAAACGTCCACAATAGGCAAATCTATAGAGACAAAAAGATTAGTAGTTATCTAGAGATGGGGGAAGGGGGTGAAGGGAAATGAGGAGTCACTGCTAAGGGTATAGGGTTTCTTTCTGGGGTGACAAAAATGTTTTAGAATTGCTTGTGGTGATGGTGGCACAACTCTGTGAGTACACTAAAACCACTGAATCTCACCCTTTAAATGAGTGACTTGTATGGTATGTGAATTATATCTCAATGAGCCTGTTAAAAAAAACTTTAAAACTTGATTATATCTAAGGGCCTTTAAACACTTCCATTTGGATACTCATCTCGTTTTTACCTCAAACTCAACAGAATCCCACTGATCCTTCTTTTACTATCCGTCACACCCATACATACCACACAGTCACCAGATGGATTTCCACTAAGCATTATTTTCAGAATGCCATTCCTTATTTAAAAATCTATACAAACTCCTCCTTTCTGCATGCCAAGTAAAGGCTACACCCCTCTACTGGTGCTGAAGGGCCTTGCGTGGGCTTCTAGTCTCTGCTAGCTCCCTACTTTTTCTCAAGACAGTCCCTTAGCGGTCCTACCATACTATGTTCGTTTTCTTCTCTTTTCCTTCATTCACATTGCCCCTCTAACTTAGTATACCCCATCCTATCTAAATCCAATCCCTTCTTTAAAATCCAAATTATTTTGCAGAATTTCTGTATTCAGTAATATTACCTCTGATCTCTGTCCAGCTAGCTGACAAATTCCTTCAATGTAAGAGCCAGTATTTTACTCTTCTTAATTTAATGAACAAAGATTTATGAAGGATCTACTATTTATAGGGTTTTATACACAGGAGAACACAATAATGCTTCTGCCTTCATGAAGTTATCAGAAGGGACAAGAAGAGTAAGATAACCAACTCAACATGTATTGGACAGAACACTGTAAACTCTCACAGGACAAACAACCAGTACTACACAATTGGCTAGGAACAACAGGAAGAAAGGCCTCACACAAGAGCTGGATCTACCTTACCTGCTTATCTCAAGTGGCTACAGTCAGAGTCAAATCACGTATGACATTTTTACAAGTAGCATTTTGTAAAATACTATCCCCACGTAATATAATTGCTTTATTTTAATTACTCAATTCCATATTACCACAGATAACTAAGAACCAGAAGCAGTATTTCCCATTTGATAAATATTAAATTGAATGTACTTAGTAATCTTTACAGAACCTAATACATACCATTTCCCCTCCACACTTCAGCTAAATGGCAGCTGCCTTCTCCAGGTTCCTTGCAAAATTCTACAACATCTCGACAGGTTGTTTCTGGTGTTATAGGAACTTCTGTTAAAATCTGCTCATTGTTGCTCAAGAAAACAGTTAATATCATCTACAAGAGAAAAGATTAAAGCTGTATGTTAGATCCTAATCATAAAGAGATTAATCTATACATTTAAAGTGATCCCTCCAAACCCTCCCCTCTGAAATGCCTACGGGATTAGTTTCTGCAAATAAGTCGATTCTAAAGTCCATGTAGAAAATAAAAAAGTAAGACAAGTCAGGCAAATTCCAAATGAGAAGAGTATTAGAAAAGAACTAGCACTACCAGATAAATACAAAGCCAGATCAATGGGACAAATTCATGTCCCAGAAATAGATCCAATTACATATAGAAAATATACATTATGAGTGAAGTATCTCAAAATCAAACAGGGAAAGACTACACACAATGAATGATGTTTGAACAATTAAAATATCCATCTGGAAAAAAACTGGATTCATACCGTACATCATACACACATAGTATAAGTTCTTCATAGCTCAATATTTAGATATAAATCATAAAAACCATAAAAAGTCTAGAATAAAACCTGAATAAATTCCGTTTTATTCAGGAATAAACTTGGGAGTACAGAAGCCCTTTCTAACTAAATCAGACAGTATTTTTTTAAAAAAAGACTGATATATTCAAGGACATCAAATATAAGACTCTCTTACAAAGCAAAAACATAGAGTGGGCAAAAATATTTGCAATTCATATTAAAAATAAATGGTTCGTCTCCTTAATATGTAAAGAGCTCCTAAAAAATAACAAATCAAAAATCCAATTCATTAAAAGAAACTGGCCGAGGAAATGAGTTAATATATCACAATAAAAGAAAAACAAATGGCCGTTAAACATAAAAATACATTATAAGGTATTTGAAAAAATTAAAAATTAAAATTATTTGGCCTTATTTTCTAAGAAAAATAAATCTCAACACTTTGATCTAAGATCTTAGGACATCATATTGGAAAGGATTTAAAAAATATAATACTCCTGAAGTACAATTTAAACGAAAGATTTTCTCTAATCACAAAGTATTAAAATATTTGTTTAATCTTTGATTAAAGGTCAGAAACAAAACTTGCATTTGTCCCAAAACTCTCCTCTCACTTGAAATCTCTGCTGTCAATTAAGTATAATTTTAGTTCACTGTTAAAAAATTTTTTTCTTAAAAGTGCCCTGAATTCCTACATTTTGATATTAAACATCTTTATATTGATGGTCACGTTATATGTAACCAAAAGTGATAATAGTTCTGAACTAGTTTCCATGCCACTAATCTCCCCTCGCTCCACCCTAACCCTCCACCACTGCCATTTCATTTTCTGAACATAAATCAAGTAAAGTTCTCCCCTTGCTTAAAATACTCAGGAGCTCCCCACTGCCTAACAGTAGCGCTTCCCAAAACATTTTCTCTGGTATATAAACAGGAAGCAGGTTTCATTACCGAGCATTTCTTAGCGTCTAATGTTGTAATGTCCACGTGAATCTCTAAACGTTTCCCCCCAGAGAATCTCATGGGGCTCGGATCGCCACAGAATACACTCTGAGAAACAGGATCAGCGGGTGAAGGGAAATGAGGAGTCACTGCTAAGGGTATAGGGTTTCTTTCTGGGGTGACAAAAATGTTTTAGAATTGCTTGTGGTGATGGTGGCACAACTCTGTGAGTACACTAAAACCACTGAATCTCACCCTTTAAATGAGTGACTTGTATGGTATGTGAATTATATCTCAATGAGCCTGTTAAAAAAAACTTTAAAACTTGATTATATCTAAGGGCCTTTAAACACTTCCATTTGGATACTCATCTCGTTTTTACCTCAAACTCAACAGAATCCCACTGATCCTTCTTTTACTATCCGTCACACCCATACATACCACACAGTCACCAGATGGATTTCCACTAAGCATTATTTTCAGAATGCCATTCCTTATTTAAAAATCTATACAAACTCCTCCTTTCTGCATGCCAAGTAAAGGCTACACCCCTCTACTGGTGCTGAAGGGCCTTGCGTGGGCTTCTAGTCTCTGCTAGCTCCCTACAACCTAGATCCCTTGCATGCGAAGTTTACAGTAGAGCTCATGCTCCTATGAGAATCTAATGTTGATGCTGATCTTGACAGGAGGTGGAGCTCAGGCAGCGACGTGAGCAATGGAGAGTGGCTGTAAATACAGATGAAGCTTCACTCGCTTGCCCACCACTCACCTCCTGCTGTGCAGCCCAGTACTAGTCTGCGGCCCAGGGTGTGGGGACACCGCAGCACTAGAAGATCTCTCCTCTTCTTCCTAGATCCAGTTTTGCTGCCTGTTTTTCTTGCCGATTTAAGCATTTACTAAGGGCCTATTACAAGCACGGCTGGGCACTTGGGGATATGATGAACAGACAAGTTCCTGAGTACAGGAATTTTATTATAGTTCAATAAGACAGAGATGAAAACTACTATATTATGTTTTGATAAACACGACAACATTAGAGCATAGGGAGGGACACTTAACACCCTTTGAGATTCGAGGAAGGAATGAGAGGCAAAGAACGAATAAAAGTTAGGCAAGCTCCCAGGGACTGACCTAGACATGGAAAGAACATGTTCAAAGCCATGGCAAATACAGTATGCTGTGACCCTCTGTGCTCTGGGGTGGTAGTCCTCATCCTTGATGAGGGAAAACCAAACCAAGGATTATGAATTGAGATGGGCTTGGAGACAAGGATGGCACAAACCAAAGGACTCAGTCAGGAAGATGAGCATTCTCAATCTCAAACGGCCTTGTATCACTTAGGGCTACAGTACTTTTCCTTTCTTTTTTTTTTTGGAGACAGGTTCTCGCTCTGTCACCAGGTGTTAGAGTTCAGTGGCACCATCGTAGCTCACTGCAACCTCAAATTCCTGGGCTCAATCGATCCTCTAGCCTCAGCCTCCCAAGTAACTGGGACTACAGACACGCACTGCCACGCCCAGCTAATTTCTTCTATTTTCAGTAGAGACAGGGGTCTCAGTATGGTGTTCGGGCTGGTCTGGAACTCGTGATCTCATGCAATCCTCCTGCCTCTACCTCCCAGAGTACAAGGATTATAGAAGAGAGCCACCTCACCCAGCCTAGGGCTACAATACTTGTACAAAAATTTTACTGCCTTCCAAGCTAAGTAAAAGAGAAGAGGGAGGCAGAAAAGGAAGTCAGAAGTGATAACAACTAAC